AAGTCACTGATCTATGAATATAGGAGTCATTTTATCACTACCTTTTTTTTTTTTTTAGAGCAGTAGTATTTGGTTTGACCCTAGGTCCCTGGGCTATGTAGTCTCTGGTTCTTGGTCACCCAAGCAATGTCGGGTATGGGTTCCATCTCATGGAGGGGCCTTAATCAAAGTCAAATCAGACATTGGTTGGTTACTCTCACAAACTTTGTGCCATCGTTCCCTAGGAAGCTTCTACTATAATACATTGTGTATCGAGTGTGTGTTCACCCGGGTCCGTGGAAAAAAGGCACAGAGCACTTTCAGGATGGCTTTAGTCTTTCCAGCTGCATGGGGATCAGCCTCTCAGGACTCACTCACTTATAGCTTAGCAAAGGGCTTTTTTTTTTTTTTTATTGTTTTCCAATTTACACCTTTAGCCAGATAATTTCTGTATCCCAAAACCTCTAATCTAAGCTCCCCAAAGGAACAATGCCAAATGCAAATTCGCCATTAAGGAATATCACGGTTTTCCGGATTGTCCCCAAGGCAAGTTTTGCATAGGCTTTGCACCTTTAGAAAACTCTCAGGCAAGATTCACATAGAAGGATCCAGAGACAAAAGGCAGCAATCACAAAAGGCAGATTAAAGCTAGATGCTAACAGTCTGGAATCAAACCACCTGTAGCTCTGCAGGAATTCCCCCAACAATATTAAGTTTCCATACTACCCCTCAAATGGCCCTTAATTTTAGTTGTCTCTCTCTGTATTCCCTCCTTCATCCCCCTCCTCTTGACTTGATCCTCCCATTCCACCCTCAGCCATCCATCCATTCATGACTATCCTATTTCCCTTTCTTAACAAGATCTATCTGTCGTTCTCCCCGCCTCCTGCTGTCCCTTACTCTATACCTACCTTCTGTGGTTCTACAGGTTGTAGCTTGATTATCATTGACTTATCAGCTAATATCCACATATAGGTGAATATATACCATATTGGACAAAATGTTTTTTATTATTGATTAAAAGGTTAGTTCCTGAGTCACATTTCTGGATCTAGAAGGATGTATTTATTATACTTGGAACTGCTTGAAAGCCATTAATCAGTAGCTATCTAAACCTAGCATCAAAAATCCTAAACTTCATATGGTTATTATATATAGCAGGAAGCTTTCTGGCCAATAATAAATCCACACTCTTCTGTTATACACACCACTGACCTGTTAGAGTCAGTACAAAGAGACCTATCAATCACCTGGTCAGAGTCAAAGACCCTAAGATAAAAAGGTTTATTTTACAGATTATAAAAATGGCCTTAACTTTGCCATGTGTAAAGGTCAGTGTAATGGTCTCACTGTTCATTGCCAACTCTCACCCCCTGAGAGAATTCTCTGCCTTGCATTTCACAATAAGCACTGTCTACTTGCTACACTATATTCTGTGATGCTGCTGATCTTTTGATGTTCATCACAAGGACAGGGCAGATATGAAGAGTCTGGACCAAAGTCCTCTTGATACTATGATGAGTAATAAAGTTGAAATAGCAATAAACAAAAGAATAAAATTTCAGTACCAGACAGAATCATCTCTGAATTTCATAACACCTTTAAAGAATGAATGCCAATGCTGCTCAAACCTTTCCATAAATAAAAAGCAGGTGTTAGCCTGATATTAAAACTGAATTACCATAAACAAGAAATGAAGACTACAGACCATATTTCTTAATGAATATATAGCCAATAAAATACTTAAAAAGCAAACTGAAAAATATATTTTTAGAAAATCGCATATTATGATAAAGTTAGCTTCAATCCAGCAAGCAAGCAAGTTTCAATATACACAAATAAATAAAAACGTACAATGTATAAATAGTATGAGGGGAAAAACACTATCATTTCAATGAATTGAGAGAAAAGACTTTCACCAAAATACAACAGCTTCTCATGATAAAAATAAGATTTTAGGAATTAAAGGATCATAACTCAAATTAATGAATGCTACATGTGATGTACTTATAAAATCATGATACTAAGTGGAAGACAATTGAAACTATAACCCAGGGACGAAGATGAATATAGATTGACTCTATGCTTATTCAATAGTGTTTAAATTTCTACTCAATGTTTAGGGGACCCCCAGGGAGTGAGACCGGGACCTGTCCTTAGTGCATGAGCCAGCTTTAATGGAACCTAGTGCCTATGCTGAGACACTTTGCTCAGCCTTGGTGCAGGGAGGAGGGGACTGGACCTGCCTCAGCTGAATGTACCAGGCTCTGCTGACTTCCCAGGGGAGACCTTGCCTTGGAGGAGATGGGAATGGGGGGTGAGTTGGGGAGGGGAACTCTGGGAGGTAGGAGGAGGGAGGACAGGGGAATCCGTGGTTGATATGTAAAATGAATAGAAAATCTCTTAATAAAAGGAAAAAAATTGCTAACACAATGTAAGGCATTCAGAGGCAGCTCAATAAAGCTGGGGATAAAGCCTTAAAAAAAAAAGCCTCAATGAACATGGTTGAACAAGAAAGAAAAATTTTCTACTCAAAACAGTAAGAGAAGGAAATGAAAATAATTCTTATATCAAAGTAGGCAGTCAAATTACTTCTGTTTACAAAATGACAAGATTTTACACTTTAAAGACTCAAATGTATGACTTTTAGATTCAATAAACTTACTCAGCAAGGTAGCTGTATATAAAATCAAAATGTTTTTCAATATACTAAGTGTGAACTTTGAATGAGAATACCCCTATATGCTCAAATTCAAATGCTTGGTCCCCAGTTGGTGGAACTGTTTGGGGAGGGTTAGGTGTGCCCTTGTTGGAATAGATGGCTTTGAGGTTTCAAAGGCCAATGCCATTTCCAGTTAGCCCTCTCTCTGCCTCATGCTTATAGATAAGGATGTAATATTTCAGCTAGTGCCCCAGATCTATGCTTACCTGTCTGCTGTTGTGCCTCCTGCCATGATGATCATGGACTCACCCTCTAAAACTGTAAAGCCCCAAATAAATTCTTCCTTCTATAGGTAGCCATGATCATGATGTCTTATCACACCAATAGAAAAATAGTGAAGACACTAAGTACTAATGTTCTGAGAAACACATCAGAAAAAACCACATTCATAGTTCCAAATCTATATAGGAATGTAACTAACCAAGGGTGTAGAAAACTCTGGAATGAAAATTTTAAAGCACAGAAGAAGGAAACTGAAGTAGATGTTATAAAATAAAAAGATATTGTATGCTCATGAATTAGCAAATTAATATTAAATGGCAATATTAACAAATATGATGTACAGATTGAATGTAATCACTGTCAAAATTCCAATGATATTCTTCACAGAAATAGAAAGAAAAAACAAACAAAAAACAAACTCCTAAAATTCATGTGAAAGCATAAAAGACTGTGAGGTCAATGTTATCCTGAAAGGAATAAAAGCAATGTTGACTATATCACAAAACCTGATTTGAAATTATACTACAGAGGCAAAGTAGGAAAATCTTCATAGTCCTTGCACAAAAACAGGCACATAGACTAACTGAGTAGATGAGATAATCAATAAATAAACCCATGCAGCTACAAATAGCTGGTTTTGACAAAAGTTGCTTAAACATAGCCTCTACAACAATTAAATGCTGTGAAAACTGGATATTCATATGTGGAAGACTCAACCTTGAGACCTCTCTCTTATTCTATACAATATTCAAAATAATGAATGTCTTTAATATGTGTGTAGGAACTTTGAAAGTAGTATAGGAAAATACATTAAGATATAACACACAACTCTCTGAATAAGTCTCCAATAGCTCAAGAATGCACTAGAATGGGCAAATAGGATTCCATCCAATTCAAAAGCACAGCAACCAATTTACCAGAGTCTATGGATAACCTATAAAGTGAGAGAAATTTCTGCCAACTGTTCTTCTAACAGAATATTTAATCAATAATATGTAAAGAGGTCAAGTAGCTAAACACTGAAAAATAAGCAATCCTATCAATAAATGGGCCAATGAATTGAACAGATGGTTCTCTGTAAGTAGAGAAGGCCATAAATCCATAGCCATTGCAGAAATTCAAATCAAAACTACATTGACATTCTACCTCACTTCAGTTAACATATTACCAACAAAATAACATGTAGCAAACATTACTAAACATTGATTACACTTTCAACAGTAATGTAAATTAGTTCATATACTGTGTGTGTGTGTTCAAAAGAACCAAACTTTCCATTAAGAACATATATCTGAATCCTCATGTTCATTGTTGTACTGTTCAAAAAAGCCAAGTCCTGGAATTGTCCTAGCTTAACACCAATAAGTAAATGGATAAAGAAAGTGTGATAGTATATTCATGTATGAAATTCTCAAACAATAAATATAAAAATCAAAAATAAATCCAACCATGAAAAATAACACCTTAGAGAAAGCATATAAAAGAGATAAAATTATCTATATGAAATAAAAAAGATAGACACACATACACAATGAAGTATATTCAGCCATACAATGAATGAAGTTATATCATTGGTATGAAAATGGAAATTGTAATGCTAAACAAATAAGCTACTTCAGATAAGCATCAGGTTTTCTGTCATATGTAGAACACAGATTTGAAAAGACAGAAATACAGAATGGCAACTACTGTATGGGGAAAGGACCAAGAAAGGGTGAAGGATGTTAAATATTAATATTGTACTTTGTATCCATATATGAAAATGATATAATGAATCCATTATTTGGTATGGTTAATATACATTAAAAATATTGAAAGCCTGCATAAGTTCAATTAAGTAGAGAAAAGAATATCTGAACTTGAACATGGTTATGTGATCATATTTTCACACACGAATAGTGAAAAAGGAAGACTCAAGGAAGAACAGATTTCTGAGACATAAGATCTTCTTGAGACCATTATAAGATCAAACATCTGGCTCAGTGACCTACCTGAGGAAGGCGAAGGGTATATTAAACCTATTCAGTGGACTACAGCAGGAAATTCCCCACATTTTAGGAAATCCATGAATCTGCAAGTACAAGAGGAGTTTATTTCAAATGGATCTGACCAAGAGAGAACCTCTTTACAGCATATTATGATTAAGTAACCAAAAGTGCACATCAGAGAAATAATATTAAAATCTGTGAAACAGAAACGCCAAGTCACATTTAAGGGCAAACTAATTAGTGGAAAAGCATTTCTGTTACCAGAAAATTTCTTTTAAAAAAATCATTCAATTGATATTTATTTCATAATAACATGAGGTATTTCAAAGTGTACGTATTTTGTAGAAATTAAACACACAACTTTGCATTTATCCATTTCTACACATCACACATGAACCAATACACTAACAGAAAGACAGAGAATATACATATACATATATAATTTCTTTAAAAACTTTCTTAGTTCAAAAAAGTGATAAAGTCATATCTACTAAAAACCTTCACTCTTCATCTTCATATGTAAACATAATTATCAAATTTAGTTACGTATCAGCTTCATACTAAAGTACACAGTGTAAGAATTAGTACAGTACATAACAGAGATTGACAGTATATTTGTATACAAAACATGCTCCTCAAACATTGAGGTGTTATCACGACACTAAGTGTGAACTTCCAGTGTAAGAATGACCTCTTGGTGGGCAAGTTTATGGAATTTACAGAAATGTTCCCCCCAGGGACATCAAATGGGGACTCCCTTTCTGTGGCATCTATTGGAATGTAATCACTCCTGGAAAAAGGAGAAGTAACTCTGGAAACTTGGAGTAAACATGACTTTAATAGCCTTCCAAGGTTCCCAACTATCCTGAACTTTCATGGCCATCACCGAGGTTAGAGGAAAGAAAGAAGTCACCTAGCATCCTATTCCTAGACTTTCCAAGGCCCCACTAGAACTCCATGATTTGCCCCCTATCCAGCTCCAAACTTGACAAGGGACCAATATGAAGGTAAACCAACATTCTTAATGTCAACACAATAGGTTTTTTTTCAAGTCAACATGTGCAAAACATCAGTGACTGTCCATTTAAGAAATATTTAGTATGTCTCAGAGTGTTTGATTTTCTTCAGCAACTGTTGTTTTCTTGCGTGCAATTTCTCCCTTTCCACCAGCAGCTTGTACTCATCAGCCTGCAGAGTGTGGATGTACTCAGTGGCCTTTTTCAGGATGACCACCTTGGCGGCCTTCTCATTGTGCACCAGCTCAGGCACAAGGTCCCTGAGGTTCAGGAAGCTGGAGCGCAAATTGTCACGGCGTTGGCGCTCCATCATGTTGTGGTTGCGGCGACGCTCATTGTCCACCAAGTCTGAGTTGCGGGGACCCAATCTCGTAGGCTTCAGCGGGAGGACGCACTTGAGGGGCCTTAGTGAAGCCTTGCTCTTGACTTTCTTGCGCGGCGGCGCGTCCTCGCTGTCCACATAGGGCAACGGTGGCGCGGCGTAGTTGTGCTGCTCATGAATGAGGACACAGCGCTTGAGGATCAGCTCGCTGGACTGCACGCACCGGGAGCCCAGCGCTGCGTTCCCAGGACACGCCGCGGTGGGGAGCCTGGTGACAGTATTGGAGGACTGTGTCTCCTCCACCGTGACCACATCGATTTCCTCTTCATCTTCCTCCTCAGTACCTGAGTTGCTCAGGATGTCCCTTCTGGAGGTGCTGAAGGCCTGGTGGCCCCTACGGATGATTGTAGTGCGGGCAGTGCCGGCATTGGCGGGGATGGCCGGTACCCGCACCCTCTTGCGCTTATTCGCCGGGAAGAAGACCACAGCAGGGTTCACACACTCCGAGTCCAGGTGGGCGAGCTCCGTGAGCCAGGAGGCTTTCCCACGCCCCACACTTGCTGTTCCGCTGCGCGCGTGGCCCGCGGAGCTGGCGGCGGCTGCCGCTCCAGGGGCGGAGGTGCTGGGGCCGGCCGCCAGGGACCCACAGCCATCCGGCAGCTTCTCGCTTACCGCACTCTCCAGCTTCTCCCGGGAGGAGAAGCCACTCCACATGCAGTCCTGAAGAATGATCGGGTTGCTGGTGAGGCCGCCGAGTCCTCCCAGGCCAAAAACATCCTCCTCGGCCGGGTTACCCCATAGGTCGGCCTCAGGCAGCAGCATCTCGGTGGCCCAGTTCCCTGGCTCCAGGCTGTGCTCCGCCAAGGCACGGCTGGGTGACAACCGAGGCGTAGGCAACAGGTCAAACTTCTTCCAGATGTCCTCCCCCGGAGGCGTCGAGTTGGGACCGCCAAAGTAAACGTCATCTTCTTCCGGATAGAAGCAGGGCTTCAGCGAGTCAAACTCCAGGTCTGAGTTCTTGCAGATCATCCCGGGCATGGTGGATGTAGTGCAGCTGAGCATCCGTTAGTCTCCGGCTGGTGACTAAACACTTCTTACTTCTCAGCTCTTTTTAAATGTAGGGGTGCTTCCGTCCCCTGGGGGTCACACAGGGTGTAGGACTCAACCAACCTGCAACACTCTCCAGGACTACCGGAGGATCCAATCCGAGGCTTTTCTGTGCTGGATCTCCGGTGGGCTTTAGGGACAGACGGGTCCTCCTGGTGGCTGCAGTTTGATTGCCCTTGTGCCTAACTAGGGCTGTCCTGGCTCCAACCCAGTTCTAAGGAGCATCTTCCCGGGAGCATCGTGTCCTGGTCCTGTGCCTTCCTCCCCCACCCTCCTTTGAATCCACCCACCAGGTCCAGACAGATGATTATCACTTCATGTGAAACTTTCAAGGACAGAGGGCACTGATGATGCCTTTCCAATCCCCAAAGAAAACAACTTTCCATTGAGATTAGTATACACAGCAAGATTACCCTCCATAATAAAAGGAGAGATATGATCTCAGAAAAGCATAAATTGTGGGAATGCAGGACCACCAGATGAGCATTAAGGAGGTGTTTATGGAAACCTCCACTCAGAAGAGGAAGAAACATAGGTACAAACATGACTGCTCCTGAAGGAAAATATCCCATTATAGGAGTACACACACAAATGAGAAAAGGAAAGGAATCAAACATTACCAGTAGTACAGAACATAAAATGTGTAAAATGAGAGGAAGAAATGAGCTCAGAATATTTGAAACAAGAAGAATTAAATTATAGTTATTACCCACTTATTACAATGAGCATAATAATCCTAATTCTCCAATTAAAAGACACAGAGAATCTACTTGGGATAAGACACATTCCAGAAGTATGTTGTTTACAAGAAAATAATCTCTCTGCAAAGAAACAAACTGAGTGAAAATATGGAAAATGATAATCCAAGCAAATATAATCAAGCAGGAGTAGTCATAATCATAACCATCAAAATAGACTTTAAGACACAAAAAAGTCACTCTATGCTGAACAAAAGTAGAATTCATAAAGAAGATATAACTAAGGGTTAGAAAGTAATAAGTTGCTTGCCTGGCATGTGCAGGGATCTGAATTTGATCTCAGCACCATAAAAAGAAGCTAGACTATAAATGTATGTGCTCCCAATGCTGATATCCCTAATTTTATAAAACCACAACTAGTCATAAGGCCTCATTAAATAATAGTAGGTTACTTCAATATCCTGATTCAAATATATTCATTGAAAACAGCAGAGAGATCTTCAAAAACCAAACATTAGCTAAAAAATGTCAGAATATATATGAAGTAAGATGACCTAAAGAGACATCTACATAATATTCAGTTCAACAGCTGCAGAATACACTTTTGATTATCAGCATATTATTCTAACAAGCACCATGTATTAAGCCTCAGAGAAATTATTATTGAATTAAAATATAATAATTCATTACATCATATATAACATCAATGGAATTAAAATAAATCAATAGCAAAAGCGCCTGAATACTCTCTTCACAACTGTGGTTAGACAACATAGTGGTTCACGATTGGTGAGTTATTGAAGAAATCAAAGAAGAAATGATAAAATTCTTCTAATCAAATGAAAAGTCTATATTAGTAATATAGAGATATTTTAAATAAATACTTGAAAGGTATCCCAAGAACTTATAAAGACAAGGCCCAAACCAAATTCCAAATCAGTATAAGAGAAATAATAAATAGTACAGCCAAAATAAATGAAATAGAAACAAAAAGAACAGTAAAAAGTTTAATTTTTAAAAGATGGTTATTAGAAAAAGATAAAGAGAACCATTTTATTAAATTTATTAGTAGAAAGGGAGAAAAAGAACAAATAAGTGAAACTAGTTTTAAAAACTAATAACAGATATCATTGAAATTCTGAGGATCATTAGAGACTATTTTGTTGAATTACATGTAAAAACATTGGGAAAAATACAAGTGGATACACATGCTATAAAAATTGAACCAAAAGCATAACTAATCAATCAGTACCAAGTAGTGATACTGAAGCTGTAGTAATAAGTTTTTCCACACAGAAAAAAGCAAGACTAGATGGATTCCCTGCTGCTCTTTAGAGAAGGAATGATACCAATGTTCCTCGAAATGAATCTATAAAGTAGGAAGAGAAACATCACATCAAAGGTCATCCTGTGAAGTCAATGTCTGTATTACTAAAACTTGGAAAAAATGCAACCCAAAAGTAACTTGTTCTAGTACCTCTAAGAAACAAAAATACATCATTTCTCAACAAAACACTTTTAAATAGAATTTCAAAGTACATTAAAAATGTCATTCACCTTGATCAAATAGGTTTCAGTTCAAGAATGTGTGAATAGTTCAATATAAGTATAGCAGGAAATGTAATGCAGCTCACAAATAGAATCAAATGTAAAAAATACATGATCATATCAATAGGCATATGAAAATCCTTTTGTTTAATTAAATATCCCTTCACAAAAAAGCCACAAATAAAGTATATATAGCAGGATTGCATCTCTACATAACAAGGTCATTATAAAACAAATCCATAAGCCAGCATACATACTGAACGGGGTAAAACTGAGATGTTGAAATTCACACAGAAGCAAAAAGACTCCACATAGACAAAGCAATGTAATGAAATTAAAGAGACGGCCCAGAAAAAAAATACATTTTTGGCAAACTGATTCTCAGTAACTGTAGCAAAAACATCTCTTGAAGAAAGGACATTCTTTTTAACACAGTGTGCTGGGAACACAAGTTATCTGCATGTACAGGAGAGAATCAAGGCTCCCGTGCCTCCTCTTGTACAAATTCCGTTCCAAATTAATGTGATTTTAAAAATTAAGATTCAAAATCTTAAAAGTGCATAAAAACATGAGGGAAATAATCCAAGAGAGATGCATATGTAATGATTTCCTGAATAGAGTGTCAATAGCTCATAATACAAGCAAGAGTTGATAAACAGGATTATAACATAGTAAAAATCTCTGCAAAGAAAAGGAATCAACAGAGTTAAGAGATAATTAAAGCTAATTGTCAGCTTCACAGAATCCAGAATCAACTGTAAGATGCACCTCTCTGGGCATGCCTGTGAAGCTTCTATTTTCTTTCTTTCTTTCTTTTTTAAATTAATTTAATTTTACATATCAGTCACAGATTCCCCTGTCCTCCCTCCTCCCGCCCCCACCTTCCCCCAATCCACCCCTCATTCCTACCTCCTCCAAGGCAAGGACTCCCCTGGGGATTCAGCTTAGCCTGGTCGATTCAGTTGAGGCAGGTCCAGTCCCCTCCTCCCTTCACCTAGGCTGAGCAAAGTGTCCCAGCATAGGCCCTACATTACAAAAAGCCAGCTCATGCACTAAGGACAGGTCCCAGTCCTACTGCCTGGGGGCCTCCTAAATAGTTCAAGCTAATCGACTGTCTCACTTATCCATTCTTAAAATACAGTCTTTTTAAAATGATTTATTCTTTGAGAATTTCATGCATGTATACAATGTATTTCAATCATATTTACTTCCCACTCCTCTCCTCGCCTCAAACTCTTCCTAGATCTTCCTCTACATCACTCTCCCTATTTTATGTCCTCATCTTACAATCTCCTATAACTGAAGCTCCAGAGGATCCCAAACCTCCTCTAGACATGCATGCCCATGGCTTACACACATTGACACATACACATACATACACATAAATGTGCAGTAAAAATAAATCTTTAAAACAAATCAGATTTTTCTCTTGCAAGTAGCAAATTAGAATTGATACTATTTTAAGAGGACACAAAGTTGGGTGAGTAGGGAAGAGAGGATGGACCTGAGAGGAGTTAGAAGAGGGGTGAATATGACCAAACTACATTACATGAAATTCTTAAAAAACTAGCAAAAATACTTTCATACCGATAGTAAGAAAATAAGGTTATTTCTGTTTAAATGGAGGCTAGATGAAGAAAGAAGGAAGAATGGAAATAATAGAAGAAAGAAATGACATGAAAGATTGATAGAAAGAAAGATAAAAAGATAGAAAGAAAGAAAGAAAGAAAGAAAGAAAGAAAGATAGATAGATAGATAGATAGATAGATAGATAGATAGATAGATAGATAGATAGATAATGCAGAGGGAAATCCATTATACTATCACTTTTACTTCTAAAGTCCAGGACCTATATCACAAGTTTATGACGTGGCCATTATGTGTAGTGGAAAGGAGCAAGTGATTATATTCATTTTGTAAGACTTTTTGTTAAATTAACACCACAAAACTTATTTCTATGTTTATTACACATTTGCCTTTGATTCTAAGTAATACAAGAACTGATTTATCCTACAACTTGGGAGAAAGTTTGATAATCTCCACTGAATGGGTTAAAACAGAACGTAAAACTACAAAATACTAGTTTAAGTCTGAGTTCTAAGTATGATAAATACAACGATAAATAACGTGCTGTTTTTCTCTAATTTCCCAAGGTGAATTTCAGTACAAAAGCTTTTTTGTCATAACAGTTTATTTCAAGAAAGGAAAGGCCACTTATAACAACTATTTATTTTAAGTATAGGAAACAAATAAGTCTTAACATAAAACTCCTAATTTCCACTGAAAGTTATGAATTGACCTGGATTAAATAATGTCAACTGCATATCTAGTGTCTTAAATCTGTATCACATGAATTCTCAAAGAATCTCTTATCTATCATCTTTCTTTTTCTTTCTCTCTTTCATTATTTCCATTCTTCTTTCATCATCTAGTCTCCATTTAAACATTATAAATAGCCTTATCTTTCTTATGATCAGTACAAAAGTATTTTTGTATTCTTTCAGAATTTCATAGTGTCTTTGAGACATCGTGTCTTCTAGTGTCTTAAATCTTAAGTCACATAAAATGCGTTCCATTTGCTCTTGTCAGAAAGAGTTAGGCCAATCTAAGGGTGACACACAGTACCACTCTACTTGACATTCATGATAACCATTTGGTATTCAGGGTGGGAAAGGTCAAATACTGCTTAGTAGCAGAAATTCAAAATTAATCAGTTCCAAGGGGACCAGAGCTAATAGAATTACTTATTCCACTTTTGGACCTATGTTGTGCAAAAAAAAAAAAAAAAATGTAGACTTCTAGCATTCACTAAAAGTTTCAAGACAAAACTGGTATGCTGAATTTCTGGAATTCACAGAACATAAAAACATTGCATGCATTGTAATGATGCTTAAACATGGGCAAAGTATAATGGTTATCAAAACAGTTTTGTGTAGCATTCTTAAGCCTTGTAGTGTATTTTGTGAAGCCTTGTCTCTCCTTTTTGGACAGGGTCTATATAGCTCAGGCTGGTTTTGAATTCACCGCCCTCCTACTCTACCTCTCAAGTACCCGGATTACAAGTGTGTACCACTGCACCCAGAAAGATCATATCTTTTTAGTACAACTAATCTTACACACCTTCTATCTTTTCTTGAGCCAGGGTGTCATGTATCTCAGGGTGGCCTGAAATTTGTTACATAGCTAAGGATGACACTGATTTCTGATCTTTCTGTCTGCACTTCAGGTCTTAGGTTACACTTTTTTAAAACTCTGTTTAAAATAATTTTTTTATCATGGACTATAGGATGAGGATTACTAAAAGTGAATGATGCTTACTATCCTTAAGTTTTAGAATCACCTGCAAAAACCTCTATTCTGTTTAAGGTCATTTGTAAGATATTGAATAACTCACCTCATTAGATTAGTCTAGTGGTCAGATGTGTCCTCATTTAACTGTTTTAGGTAATTTGTAGCCTTTACAATTTCACCTTTAATGGCAAGTTGTTAAAACTTGTTTAAATCAATTTTCTAGTATCAGACTCTTCAATGAGAAGGAACAAGAGATGAACTCTATAAAATTTAGCTCCCTCTCTTCCCAGAAAACCCAAAACCTCTCTTAAAATGCAAAGGCACTCTCCTTTTCTTAGATCACAGGTTAGCCAGCTTTTTGTGTTTGTGTTTAGAATACAGAAGTGAACATTCCAGACTTTGTGGACTATTCAGTCTCTATTGTAAATACTCAATTTTTGCCACTACAGTGGGAAGCTGCCTTAAACAGTATGTCATTAAAAATGAAGGAGGAGCCGGGCAGTGGTGGCGCACGCCTTTAATCCCAGCACTCGGGAGGCAGAGCCAGGCGGATCTCTGTGAGTTCGAGGCCAGCCTGGGCTACCAAGTGAGTTCCAGGAAAGGCGCAAAGCTACACAGAGAAACCCTGCCTCGAAAAACCAAAAAAAAAAAAAAAAAAAAAAAAAAAAAAAAAAAAAAAAAAAAAAATGAAGGAGGAGCTCAAAGTTGCCCCATAGGGCAGCTGGCTGAGCCTGCCTTAGAACTAATGTAGTGTTATGAGTCACGTTGAAGAAACTAGTGTCTAGTTGGATATTATTCTTTGCATGGTATATGTTCATTGAAATTTTGTACTTAAAATCAGGAAAGGAAGAGAAATAAAAGTGTCCCGAGTCCAGCATTCCCCTCACATCACTGAGCTATCTACCTTAGGCCCTGTGGTAGGAAAATCTTCACTAACACATGTGTATTTACACATACACTACCAGTGCTATACTGTCCTAATTTCAGATGAGAGCAGGCCATGATCTGCTGCTATACTGGGAAATAAACAAAGAACAAATCCTGCATTCATCAATTCAAATGTTGCATGTCTAGTGAGCAGAAACCTCAGACATGGACCCTGAAGTCAATTTTCTTTATCATTATTTAGTTTGTTCTGGTGACATCCAATTTCCTTAGCAATTATAAAAATGTTCCCAAAGTCAACAATTAAACAGGTACTCAGTCATGTTAAATAAGTGCCAGTTTCATTTACAAGCCCTTTTGAAAGGGAATACCCACTGTGGTTGTAACAGAGAATAAACACTATTAATATATTAATTATTCTTGTTATTATTGTGGTAAAAATAGCATGAAATCTACCTTTTAAGCAAATTCCAGAGAACAATGTAGAATTGATAACTATTGGCACAAAATTGTGCCAAAGACCTGCAGAACTTACTCAACCTGTATAACAGAAGCTTTGCCGTCTTCAGAAACATTTTCCATTTATCCCTCCCCTCAGACAATAGGAATCGTTTTTCTGCTCTTTGCTCTTATAAGTCAGAATACTTAAAACCATTTCTGTAAATGAAATCATGCAGCAATTTTACCAGGGTGACCGGTTTATGTTGTTTAACAAAATGTCCTCAAAATTTACCTGTTTTCTTACATGAGAAAAAGATCAAGTATAAGAAAAGGCAAATATCCAGGATGCTGGTTAGAGACCACCACCAGTGAGGACGAAATGAGCCCTCTAGGGCACATAATTGAGCCAAATTTAACCAACTGCTTAGAGTAGTTTCAAGGTATTAGTAAAAACTTACAGAAGAGACTTTTTCCCTTTTAAAACAGAAGAAGGTTGTCAAGACGTAGACACAGGGGAGGAGAGATAGCTTAGTGGGGAGAGGCCTGACAACCCGGATTCCATCCCTAGACCCCACAAGTTAGCAGGAGACTTCTATTCTGATTTCTATGTGCGCACACACATGCACATGCAGAAACATACACACATCAAATAAATGTATTTTATTTATAATAAATAAATAAATTTTAATAAATAAAATAATTTAATTAAACTTTAAAAGACATAGCTGTAGGCAACAGCTTCATGAATAATATTCTAAGAATTTAAGCAATAACAGCAGGAATTAACAAGTGATACTAGGTCCAGCAAAAAAATATCTGTACAACAAATCTACAAAATTAAAGAAAATTTTTTTCAACTCTTCATGTACCAAAGAATAAGCTTCTGCCATGATACTCTGTTCCACCACAGCCAACAAAATGACGCAGTTCGCAAAATATGAACTCAAACCTATGAAGGTTTTTCCTCCTTTGTAGTTGCTTTTTGAGGTATTAGTCCCAACAATAGTAACAGAAGCCATAGTATACAGCAAAACTCCACAAATTGTTACAGAAAAAAATCATTTGACAAAGTAAAAAATCTATTCATCACAGGTAAGATATCTTATGAATATAGATGTAAGTGATGTCCATAATATACTGGTACATCAAATATAACAATTTATTAAAAATAATTACATAACA